ATATAAAGAGCCGTCTACAATGGAGAGTTGTAGGCCGTAATAGTAAGAAATTGACCAATCACAGACAAAGTACAGAAGAATAATCGATTGTGATTTGTCAATTTCTTACTGTTACAGTCTAAAACTCTCCATTGTAGACGACCCTTAAGGCCTGTTTTACAATACCGTCGTAAGCCGTAAGTCATAAGAAATTGACCAATCACAATCGATTATTCTTCTGTGATTTATCTGTGATTGGTCAATTTCTTACNACTTACAGCTTACGACTGTATTGTAGAACAGACCTAAAAGGTAAGTTGCCGTTTGCAACGCTCGTAAGCGTTACTTATCTTTGTTTAACTTTCAATAAAAAACAAGGATGAAATGATTTCATCCTTCAAGTCTTGGTGTTGTTCATTATGGAGGCTATGTGGCTTGGCAGGCATCCGGTGACGCTGCTGATAAGAGTCGTTTGGTGTATAACGTTTATGAGGAAGTGGTGTGTGTGTTGTATAATCAGATGAATTTGACGTTTGGAGATGACTCAGGGAGGAGTGTGGCAAATAAGTTAGGCGAAGCTGTTTAGGCTATATATATTTTATTTGTAATTTGTCTTTCAAAAGCGTTTGGAATAAAGTTTTTAAATTTGTATAATTTGTCTGTGTCAATGTTACTTGTTATCCATATTTTACGTGTTGTGAATTCTTCGTAGCCTCCTTTTATTGGAACCTTGTAGGGGTAGCGGTCGCATATTTTTAGGAGTTCGTCGTACTTTATCCATCCGTAGAAGTCGTCGATGATGACGCAAGTTTGTTGTTGGTATCCGTCCCACCAGTCTCCGCGTGGTTTGTAGTAGATGGAGTCGGGGGCTGTAGCGGTAGCTTCTTCTAGGGCTCGTCGTGATTTACCAGATCCTGGAGGTCCCCAGTAATAGTAGACATCCGTTTTGTATGAACGGGGTGGGATGGGGTTAGTGATGCTGAGGTATGCGATGATACCTCGATGGTATTTGATAAAAGTCGTTGGATGTTTCGAGGCGATAGCTTCGATGTGTCTTTCACCGGTAGAAATTGTGTCCACCACAGCTTGGAGGTCGTTCCTTCGTCCTTGATTTTGAGGCACGCCCTTTTCAAAGAACATGTTGCTTTTCTTACAGTATGTTTGGTTTTGTTCGTCGGATCCGTTTGCCTTTTCAATATGGATAGTGTGATAGAGAAGTTCTTTGATTTTCTTGAAACAAATTGGTTTTTCCAAGTTGCAAAAGCCTTGCAGATGTGGCATGCCTGTTTGAGGTGCTTCTTTGAGCGTTGCGAACGGTAGGTGGAACTTACTCAAAGTGGTCGCTCAAGATGGCCGCTTAAGAGCGCCAATATTGAATGATTTTTCAGCATTTCAGCATGATAGCGATACTACATGCATCTACATGTATCGCTATCATGCTGAAATGCAGAAAAATCATTTAATAGTAGCGCTCAAAATTGATAATTAGACAAAGATATAGTTGAAAGATAATAATTTTAATGTGCAACGATAATATCAAATATTAAAAGTCAAGATTGTAAATAATGTTAAATCAATAATATTAAATTCTGTTATCACAATTTATTGTCCTTTAAATAGTATAAGTTTTGTATAAAAGTTTCGTACTTTATCACTTGGGCTCATGTTGTTATATACATATCTATTGTAATTCTTATATTAAGATAATTTTCAGTGATAAATTTTAACAATAAATTTACATGATTTTCTAATGGATAATTGTTTAGTTCATGACTCTGCAACTTTTCAAATAGGTACGTTTGTTAGATTAGTCTTATAAATATGCAAAAATATTAATCAAGAAGCATGGTGGAAGTAATAAGGTGTGCTCGTTTCTCGGACAATTTTCGTCACGTTCTGCACAGTGACTGAGATCCGCCATAATTCTATAGTACACGTAACATGCAATAAGATAATGTACGCATATGCATGAATACACTCTATATAAACAAAGAGCGTGAGAAATAGGTTAACTCTACAAATCGGTATGCATATTCATTAGTATAATTTATTTATAGTTAACACATATGATATTGTAATTAATAAATTATACTTAAAATTGATTTATTAACTGTATTAT